GCCTCTCCCTCCGTAGACAGAAGTACCGTTTCTCCCACAGTCAGATTTTGGCCTTGTGCCGTGAGCTCCGTGAAGGCAGGACAGTGGCTGCCTTGCCTCCAAGAGCCTAGCATGTACTAGGCACACGGTGTGTCTTTGTAGAATTAGTGTTGCTGTGTGGCAGAGGGCCCGGCTCCATGCTCACCGTGTAAGTAGACACCAGAGCTTTCTTGTCACCCTCGGGAGGTGTCTTGGGAACTTCAGACTCTCTCTCTGAATAGTGAATGCAAATTGCCACTTGGCTATATAACCTATAATTAATCTTATCTCAGTGGTAAACCCGTAATTCATGTTGGGTTTTGTTTTGTTTTGTTTTGTTTTTGGAAATGAAAACTGAGCGTCCTGAGAAATGAACTCACTTTGATCTTCACAAGTGAAGTCAAAGTACAACATTTCTATAGTGTTTCTGCTTAGAATGTGCTGATGTGTGTCAAACAGACAAGTAGGGTCATGGACATTTCCAAAGGTCTGGGTGGTTTCATGACTAATCACTATAATTACACACTTGTTCACATACTGGTTCCCCTGGCTACAGAGACAGAGTTTGTGAAAAGAGGAATAGAGATTTGATCAGAAGAAGTTTAAATGGAAACAATCCCTTTTACTGGGGTAGAGTTGGGGAGGTGGAGTGAATTAGCCCCCCCTCTAGGCTGGGAGGAAGCAGGGTGTGAGCAGAAAGTTGACTGCCAGCCTGTCAATGACACCGCTGTGCTGCCCGTGTGCAGAGATGTAGGGGATGAGAGTCCTGCATGTGAGGTTGTCATCCCACTGAGGACCGGGGTTATGTGGCACCACCCACAGCCTGTCACCTGCTCAGCCTGGCACAAGGGCACACATTCGAGGTGCAGAGGAAGGGCTTCTGGGGCTTTTTCTGGCCACGGAGAAACTCAGAGGCTACTGAGTGGAGGTCACAGCTGTCATATTGACCTCGTTTGCAATCTCTACCCAGCAGGATAAAAATATCTTGTAAAAAGAAAGCTTTTAAGGGAACATTCTTAGAAACCAATATTCTTAACTCTTACTTCTGTGTTCCCGGGTGGCTTGCTCTCAACTGTTACCTGCTGATCTCAGTAGAAAAGGGTGGCCAGTGCTCTGTCGAATCAGAAAAGTAGGAAGGGAGAGTGGGACCCACAAGTAGGAGCATCCTGCAGGCAGAAGGGGGTCCAGGCCAGGCCATCTTCTCCTGGCCAACTGGGTGAGTAACTGGGAGGAGCTTCTTCCAATTGGGAGAGGCAGAGGAATGAATTGAAGAAAAGGAGATGTGCATCTCCCACCTGTCTGGTGGCTTTGGGTGGCTGTAACTTATGTTTGCACATAAGTGATTGGGGGTGCAAGCACAATAGAAGAAACCTAGAAAGCAGAGCTGGGTGGACAGAGAGACCACCTGAAGTCATGGATCGCTCTTAACAGGCTTTCTTACAACTTGAACCATTTCAGGCTGTTGATGCAATTAAAAAAAGTGCTGGGGGATATTTCAGGAAACAAGATCTTTGTAATGCTCAGAACAAAAATAGAGAGCACGTTATTTGTCTAGAAGCTGCTCATGACACATGCCAAGAAATCAAGATTGGTTGCCTTAGGGGAAGGTACTGAAGAACATACATTGTCCAAGAAGGTTCACTAACACACACACATCTTCCATCTCCCCTGCAGAATGCCCCAAGGGAGAGATTACATGAAATCTAGAACAAATCACTTGACTCTCTCATCAGAAAGGCGACAGAGTTGCTAGGATGGCAAAGTGTGTATTCCCTCTGCCACTGTATTCTTCGGAGATGGGTGATGTTTCCGTCCCATAGACCGTGGTGGATGCGCCAGAGGAAGATCTTTGAGCTGCAGTTTTTTGTTTTGTTTTGTTTTGTTTTAAGTAATCTCTACACCCAACGGTAGGGCTCAAACTCATGACCCCAAGATCAAGAGTCACACACTCCACCGACTGAGCCGGCCAGGTGCCATGAGTGGCAGTTTAAACTAGAGGAGCATTGAAACTAGAGGAGTATTAAAGATAGGAAGAAGTTCCTGCAGAAAATTTGGGGTACGATTTTGAAGTTGGGGGAAAAAGGAATCTCAGTGATGGGCTGGCTTTGTTTGTTGAGTATCATCTGGCTGCACATGGTAAAGTTCTTTATCTCTGTCATCTGATCTTCAAGTTCTTCAGTGTTTAATGTGGAGAACACATCACTGATATAGGCCAAAGGGAAGTACAGAGACCTTCTTCAAACAACACAGCCAGGGACCACAAAGTTCAGGTTTAATTTAGCTGTGTGTTTAAATACACTGACACCTCATCATCTTTCTCTTGGAAAAAAAAAAAAGAACTTTATTTTTTTATTAAAAAAAATTTTTTTTAATGTTTATTTATTTTTGAGACAGAGACAGAGCATGAGTGGGGGAAGAGCAGAGAGAGAGGGAGACACAGAATCCAAAGCAGTCTCCAGGCTCTGAGCTGTCAGCACAAAGCCCAACGCGGGGC